TAGGCGAAGCAGGGCCCAAAGCATGGTCTGTGCAGAGGAGTTCCTTGGCTGAGTCTTCAAACACACGTGGCTCCTGCAGTTCCAAAGCAGTTAGATAGCCAAGCTGAAGGAAGAGTAATCTGATCCCTGCCAAACGAGGTCTTCCGTCTGTGGCATTCTCCCAAGTACTGCCAATACTGACCTGCGACCGAGCCGAGCACAAGATTCTTCTTTGAACCTGCGAGTGAGCCTATCAACCTGCCTTTCTCCACATGCCGAAGCAGGTGACTGTGGTGACCCTTTCTCCGTTTGGTCTTCAAATTACCCTATGCCCTACGCGAAGGTTAAAACAGTTTTAGTCAAAAAGTTAGTCTTTTCCAGCGGTGTAAGTTGAATTCATAAGTGACTGCTGACGGTGAACCAATATAGCCTGGCTTGGCTCTTGTTCAGAGTCGTGACCAACCTCAGGACCATCCTAGAGTGCTACTGTAGCGATCACCATCAGACCGGGACACACGACAGGTCCATCCACACATTCCTCCGAAACAAGGTGCCGTGTTTGGAGAAACTTTCCGACTGCAAGAGTTGCATCTGCCGCGACGTATCTGAGGCGAAACAGGGCATACAGTATGCTCTTTGCAGATCCGATTCTTGGCATGGTGAATTTTTTGTTGAACGAATGACGCGATGTATTCCATCAGTTCAACTGCTCCATATGGAGCTGCTACTCAGTTCCTTCGATGTAGATATATGATAGATAAACTCTATGCCTTCTGAGGAGACCTGAACTGAGGAGACCTGCATTGTACCTCCGAGTTTTTGCGTGTTGATGTGATTTGTACACTGTTTGATGTGGTTGCCACGTGTATTTGACAGCAGACACTGACTGACTCTTGCTATATGCTTGCATTGATGCATTCATGGTTTTAGAGATCCCTTGCTGAGGCGCTCCAGTGCACTCAGCATGGTCACCGAGGGTGAGCTGAGCTCAGTCCCAGAAGATTCGGAGCTCAGGTGGAGCAGGGAGCTGCGTGGGGGCATTGGGTCGGGGATTCAAGCCCAAGCTTTATAGGGTTCTCAACTTCCACGGTCGAGCCAAAGGAGAGGGCCAAATCGAGTCTATTCAATTTCCAAAGGTTTGGAGGAATTTGACGAAGACTCGTGTGAGTTGGTTGGGTCAGGGTCTAATTTTTTTTTTTAACGACAACATGATCATAATGCAAGATTTTGCAGGACATCTCCCCTGTTGCTGCAGGTACAAAAGAGCCGTGAGCATGATCTTCAGCGATGGTTCGGGTGAGAGGCCAGGTGCAGTGGCAAGCAACGCACTATCTTGCCCTCCCTTCGAAGGCTAGGACATGCTAGAACAAAGACCTAGTAACCATGAACTAAGCACTGTATATACTTTGCTTTGTTTCTGAGTCAATGCATTTTCCTGCAACTACCCACAACAAACATTGAATACCCGGATTACACAGATCCTATAGATCTCTGTATATAAGTGTGCGGTGCTCTGAGGCAAGTCAGCGAAGCTTCCCTGCCATCGATCATCGAGCTGCTGGGCTGTATAGCATGAGCCAGTCCTTCACATTGGCATGTCACCAGCGGGTCATTGGTAGGTGAAGGTTTGAGGGAGGTAAGGTGCAGTTTGCAGGTCTTAGTCTTAGTTGATGAAAGGAACAGGTGCAGGAGTGGTGGGCGGTGGGCTTCCCCGTAATTTCATTGGGCAGGACACGTATCAAAGCGGTTATAGCGGTGAAGCGAAATAGCTTCGAGGTGTGATGTGAAAGACTCGAGTGATGACTCAGAGGAGGGATTGCATCACGGCTGCACTTGGTGTATCCCCTAGTAGCGTCCTTGCTCCTAGTAGCGAGGCCAGGAGCCCCTAGTAGCTTCTTGTTGCTAGTAGTAAGGCCAGGAGCCCCTACTAGCGTCCTTTGCTCCTGGGGTCTCGGAAGTGACATGGAAAAATTATCAACATCAAAGGAATCCCTTTATGTGTAGAGGATCGAGGCTGGAAGATGAATCAGATGAATCTCATTGGTCATTTGCTACGTACAAGACAAAGCAGCAACGCGGCAAGTGCTCAACAACTCACTGTAGTCTTTTCCTTCTTTGCTTTTGACATGGCAAGAGACAGAACTCCTGTGAGAATCAAAACTGCGCCTCACGGCGACTCCATAGGGTGCGCAGTTTTGCTCAGGAAGCGCATCACGGAGGGCAGCGAAGACTTTCGAGATGAGCCGCTGAGACGCGCGAAGACCCTCGATGAGGGGGTGGGCGGTCGAGCGGTGGAGCGGAGCGGTTCGGAGACTAAGAGCCTCAGTGAGGTTTGGTGTTAGGAATGTGGAAGGTGACCGAAGGTATGGAAGAGAATGCATGAATCAACATGAATCATGCTTTTTTCAAAGACCGGTAGAAGATTTTGTCTTGGACAATGTAGCAAGATAATCAATGCTCAAGGCGTGAGGTCCAGTACCTGAACATAGAGAGGTTGACAGCATTCAGGTCTTAAGCACGTTCACTTCCATGGACCCGCTTTTTGCCATGTGGATGCATGCATTCAATGCATTCAATAGAGCCTTACACCCCCCCCTTCATCCTTTATCTATTGTAGTAAAGGATTTTGATGTGGGCCTTTTCCTGGTGGAAATACACAGTTTGGAGATGTTTGGAGGTGGCGACCTTGGCACCCTTAGAGAAGCACACTCATTTGATGCTGGTTAAGCTCTGATTTATGAACGGTTGATCGGCAAGTATCTTCTGTGGTTTGACGCCGGATAGCCACAGAAGCGAAGCACATTGCAGTAGCTTCCAACTCCATATAGATTCTTCCAAAGCTTTTTTTTCTTTGTATTTTGATTTGGTTCATATACTAACCTGGAACAATCAGGGGTTTTTTGCCGTCGGTGGAAGGATTGGAAGGTCCGAGGAGGACGTCCTCGATGTTTCATCTCAGGTCCAGTAGCGATGCACGCAGCACCGCACCCGATTCAGAGGGTGCTCAAGGTGCTTTCCAGCCCACGTCGCCTGACGATCAAGCTGGGGACGTTGGACTTAGCTGGTGAGGACTGATAGGAATCGGGTGAGAATATGTTTTGGTAGCCATGGAGTTTCAATGCATGTCCAAGGGGTCCAGCATGTTTCAAGCTGTTTTGGGGCACCCAGAGCCACCACCTTACACTGGTTGCTTTGCGTTGCCTTTGGAGCAGGATTATAGCTGTTCTTTTGTTTGGCCAGAGGGTGTAGGTCCATATGGGGCTCACCTGAGTTTGCTGTTTATGCAAGGTACGGAGAAGAGATCTCGTGGCCATCAGCGCTGTGGACTATGCCCCAACTAGTGTCCTGGTATAGACCGGAGTGTCTTGCTCAGTCGCAAACACAGGTGTATTGAGGGGTAGTGGCACGGCTGCATCAGCCAGATTCAGGTCCAGATACACAACATGCAGATGGAAGTCAAGGTTCAAAGAAACCTTCGAATGACTAGAGAGGATGATCAAGGATCAAAGTTTGGATATGTTAAATGACGAGCTCAGCTATGCTAACTTTTGTTGATTCAAGCAAGCAAGGCATTTCCTGGAGGGCTTCGTTTGATTCCCCATACCAAAGAAATCCAAAGAGCACCTCACCAACTTGTGTGGAAAACAGACACTTTCTCTACCTGGCTGCCAACCCCCCGCCTCCGACAAGATGATCTCCAAACCACATTTTTCGGTGTTTCAGCCGGTGCAGGGGACACCTCAGGACCTTCTCTATGAATAGACATGAATAGACCCTTGACAGTTGCAAAGCGAGATTCACCTCGGGTCCTTCAATCTGAGGATCTAGGATTCCAACGGATTCCGCATCTTTCTTCGTAAACAACATCCCTTTGTGGTAGAATCTTCCAAAGCACCTTTCTGGAAGACTTGTCATGTAGTTTGCACAAAGGTTCTAATATCGTTCTTCACTCCGCCATGGAATGCAACGCCCGCCATGCGCCACACGTCGCCGCACATGATCGGCTGGCTTGACGAGCGGTGCCTGGAGGCGACCGGCGCGCCATGCGAGGAATGCGTTGGCACGTTGGGTCAAGGGGACTGCGCCTCTTTTTGTTCCTTGGTCTCCTTCGACATCTTTTGACCACAGATGGATGGTCCATTTTGTCACAGCCTCAACAGATGGATGTGCAGCTATTTGAACTGCTAAGGGGGAACACAGATGAACTGACAACAGATTTCCAGGCGGCAGATCATCTAAGCTGACGAGGGTTTGACAGGATTGCCTGCGTAACGCTCTCCAGTCACGCATTTGCTTGACGACACATCAAGCCCTCTGCTTGCCTTTGTTTCTGCAAACAACTCAGACGAGCGGGAAGTGAGTTTGAGCATGTTAGAGCTCATCTAGAACGACATTGACCCTGTGCCTTCACACTTTGCCTGCAGGATGGAGCGCCAGACAAAGAGATTCACCCCTGTGCATAGTAAGCTGAGATGGCAGACCTTGTGACTTGGTTGGGATGAAACAAGCATCACTCCAGCAACAAACATCATCGAACTGTGGCATTTCATGACCAGCTCCCTCGGCTTCCCAACCCGGGAGTGCTTGTTGAAGTTTCCCTATTTGCGCTGCATGCAATCGCCCCTGAACTCCCATCTTGGGAGGATTCTATGTCGATTTCCTTTAGAGCTTGGATGTCATGCTTTGTGCATTACCGCACTTGCACCTGTTCACTGTGGACCCGCTGGCCGCCGCCCAGGCGACGCTTGACCTCCGGCTGCCAAGGCGACTACATTGCCACCACGGCCGAGTCCTCGTCTTTGCGGATCCCCCAGGCGCACGACACACGTGACCGTAACTCGCAGGACAGTTTTTTTTCCCTTTTGACGTCGTCCAAACTGGAATATATAATTTATGAAAGACATATTGCATATTATGTTTATGATATAGTATATATAGTATATATATATATACAGTATATGTATTTATTGCAATGAAGCACCAAGCTCAATGGTGCTTTGAACCATTCTTGCCAACTGAGTTCTACTCTTCCGTTGCATAGATATGATTATATATAGATCTCAACCGGAGGACTGCTTGTGGTGACTGTTTGCCCGCCTTGATCAGCCTGTGCCATGTCACACGCCCAGGTTTTGGTGAACGAGACGGATCCCGTGGAAGTCTTGGAGACAGGTCTACCTGTTTAGACCTTAGCTTCACCAGGGACATTTTTGAGAAAGGTTGACCATGGAAAAAAGACCGGTTTTGAAATCATTTGCATCCCTTGGGTGAGATTATGTTGCAACAGGATGAATGTCCAACAGTGTATTCCAGAACTGGTCAGACTCTTTGCGAGGTGATGTACTACAACCCGATGTCCAAGACATTTGAAAATCGTGTGGTTAAGATTGACAACCAGCTGAGCTTCTTTTTCGTCCTGGAAGAGAGGGCATTGAAGGAACCATGTGCTGTCCGGCTCTATGGGATTGAAGAGGCGGGGAACCGAATGTGCTTTTCAAGGAGCGGATCCAAAGTGGATGGCGTGGAGTTGCAATCCTAGCGTCCTTGCTCCTAGTAGTATGGCCAGGAGCCCCTAGTAGCATTCTTGCTCCTAGTAGTCATCCTCTAGCAGGTTTCAAAAGGAAGGGAGACATGAACAATTCCATGTTGGTGTCAGCTTTCTCATCAAGACAGACACATGCACTCGCACAAAAGCTGTGACACGGCCAAACATACAATCAGTTCCAGTTCGGTCAAGACTCTTATGATCAATTTGAGGCACTTGGTGTGGACAGGCAGTAACAAGAAGCTACTAGGAACAAGTGCCACGCTAGTAGTAACAGG